GGTTTTTAATGGTTTTTAATATGTTTATATTTGTATAATCATCATCCATCCAAATGAGTTAAATTTCTGTGATCCTTGAAATAAAGGGTTCAACATTTTCGAAGAAAAGGTTAAAAGATTTGAAAGCTTTGAAAAAATCTGCTTAATATATGAATCCCTTTTTGATGAGATAGAAAATCTAAAATTTCACTTTTGTTTTTATCCAGTTACCTAGCTTAAACTATATCTCCGTCCCGCTCTCTGTGTGCTTTTTTAGCTGTAGCAGCTGCGCATGATTGTAAGCCACTTCAATCGAACTTTAAACTGTAAGCACCAATACATTACACTCAAAATAAATTTAACCCTAAATTTTAGAAAATCGCCATTAAAATTTCTTTTTTCTAAATACAAGAAAGTTATTTCTAAATCTAAGGAAATTTTTCTTAAGTCAAGAAAGTTTTCCTAAAATCCAGGAAGTTTTTCTAAAATGTAGAAAATGGTTACCATGAACTAAGATCACCCTAAAATCTAGGAAAAATACCCTTAAAATTAGAAATTATTTTCTGAAAAATAGAAAGGCAAACAAAAGAATGAAATATTTTGGCAACGCCTTTTCTAAAAATGAGTGCCCTAACCCTAAAATTAAGCTAACCCTAAATAATAGAAACATTTCCTAAAAAGTAGAAAGTTTTTCTAAAAAATAGAAATAGTTGTTTTCACATGCTCTGGCACACCAAAATGTTCAATGCCAGAACTTGTCAGCTGCCGGCCAGCTGTACTCGTGGCGCAGACCGTTAAAGCACTTGGTTAGCAATCGAATCGACGCGGGTTCGAGTCCCAGAGCAAACTATTTTTACCTTTTTTTTAAAGTTTTTTTTTTAGTGTTTTTTAATTTATTTTATTGTTTTTTTTAATTTGTTTTTTTAATCTTTTTTATTATTCCTTTTTTTATTGATGGCAAGCGGTAAACCGAAAAAAATTTGGTTTATATTCAGCTATTTACTATATACTACACATAATATAAATTGCGATAGCATAAATATATGCATATGTATATACGTGTGTAAATAAGTAAAACGCGAATGGTCAAAATTATGCAATTAGTATTCAAATGTGTTGTCCGCTTCACCCTTTACATACAATGCTCGGTTTGCCACAGCAAGTTTAAGTGCTACAATGGTCCAGTATGTAGGCCGTTCGCTCCTCGCGCGGGAGACCCGGGTTCGAATCTCACCGAAGGACAAGTAAAAATGTAAGTTTTTTTCATGAAGATAAAATATTAACTAATCATAATTTCTACATTCCCAATCTTCCGCAGTCCCGTAGTCCACATTTACAACCACATTTGGCTTTGGTTAGATAAGAAATCCAAGCACAAATACATAATAATAAATACATAACCTTTAACATTCACAATATACAAGACAGACAACGCCTGCATATGTATATAATAGGAAGGAGTACATAATATATACGTATATACAAAAAAAATCATGATTGAACATGTTTTTTTGTTTTGTTTTTCATTTCTATTTTTTAGGAAAATTTCCTACTTTTTAGAAATTTTTGCCCTTAAATTTAGTAAAACTACCCTAAAATTTAGAAATATGACGTCAAAAATAATCAAAAGTATAGAAAATTGTGACCCTAAAATTTAGGGCGAGCTTGTCTTGAAGACAAAAGTAGGGCGATTTCCTTGACTTTAGGGTTAATTTTATTTTGAGTGTAGGGAAGATACAAATGTATATATGTTTATATGAAACATTTCTAGTTGCGTTGACTTGCTGTTAGTCACAGCTGCAGGCCGGTTGTGTCATTAACCTATAAAAACGTGTTCGCCTAGAGTGGCAGTGCAAGCGAGATGGAAGAAAGCAGGGTGGGGGAGATAACTAGCAATTGTATTTGGCTTTATTGCACTCGAGTGTCGCTTCCCTCTTTATTTAACTTTAAATTAATGGCTAGTCTACGAAAATAGCCCCCAAAGAATGCAGCACACAAGTGCATATCGAATCCATGACGTCACGTTTGATTGTGACTAACTGAGATTATAAATACATTTGTGAAATATGAATCATTTTGAATAATTTATCAAGTTCTAAATCATTAAAAATTGCAAAACATGTAAAAAAGAAAATATTTTCATATATGTAACTTAATTTAATTTAATTGTTAGTATAGTTTATAATTATTTACATCTATGGTCGTTTTAAAGCTGTAACTCATTGGAATTTCGGATGACAACTAATTTTTTTACTGCGGGTACTGCGATATCTTGATGTCTGCATGACAGTTTTGCAAAAATAAAAATAAAAATAAACATGGCTAAAAGTCAAAGTCAAGCGACTGTCAGAGGGACTTATCAATGTCAGGCGACATTCTCGCACTGCAACTAACAAACAAACAGACAAACGAAACATCTCGTTAACAACAACTGTGGATACAATGTATTTGACTTTAAGAGGGGGTTGTGGGTGCTTGGGCGGGTGAGGAGCGAAAACAATTGCAATCGAACGAGAGAGGGAGAGAGCAGGAGAGAGTGGCGGCGAGAGAGCTCCACTCATTAGTTGGGGGCTCGGGTTCTTGGCGCTCCGGTTCGCTGATACACGAAGTGCTTCGTGTTCGCCTGATCGCGATTGTCGATTGCTGACAGCAGCAGCAACAGCAACAACAACAACAGCAGCAGCAACAACACCGCTGTGAAATGGCGGCACAAAATCATTGACCTCAATTTTTTCGTCATGCGAACAGACACATGCACACATTCATATGTACATTTGTACTTGCGGGTAATTGCATCGGTGTGTGGTGAGTGCAAGTAAAAATAAAAAGCTAAAAAAAAATATATATATACATATGTATGTAAATAAGAAAAACTTGTCAACTGGCGTTATCGTTCGCAAGTACTGGTATTTTATTTAAATTGTTTTGCCATTGTATAACTGCTATTCAACTTTATCTGCAAAAGGCCGTCCTTGAGCATCGGGATTCGCTTTTGAGCAAATTATGTCATAGAAAAGTGCGAATATCGAGCAACCCCCAGAAAGTTTGACAAAAGAAATGCAAATAAGCTAGCCCGAATGGAAGCGAAATGAAATTAAATGAGATGAGATGAGTTGAGTTGAAACGAGCAGCAGTTGTGCAAAGACACGCACACGAGTGCTGTTGTTGCGGCTCTTGCAACAATACCTCTTTTTTCAGGGGGTAAGGTCATGTACTTGAGCTTTTGCTCCGTAAAGCACGTTCGCAAGAGCGGGACAGCAAAAGAAGGGGGCAGAGAACCCCGACAGTCAATGTCCTTGTGGTTTGTTTGGCTTTTTTTTCTCCGTTCTGTCCCAGTTGCAGTTGCAGTTTTGACCCAGTTTGAAAATTTGGGTGAATCAAGCTTAAAGAAACAACAGATATGGGACAAGAAAGAACACAACATTGGAAGAATTGATTTCTTTTTTCTTCTGCCTAAACGTCCCAAATTAATCTAACATCTCAGATATAAACTCGCCATATACAAATATCAAAGCTTCTCCAAAAATCCACTAGTATTGAATTCGGAAGAATTTTTATTGATGGACGTATAACCAGTTTCTTATTCACCCGATATAACAAAAGATCAGGTAAGATTTAAAAATGCCACTCTACTTTGAAATGTAAGATGTTAAAAAAAAAAAAAAAACATTCTTTTAAAATATATTTTCATTTGTCACAATTGAGATCTGGGGCAGTCTCTTATCTGGTTTGCATAGCAATTCTTTAGAGAAACAGTGTTTTTAAAAACCAAATTGGAACGAATAGCATTGCAGGAATGCAAATGCAGAAATGATTCGGATAGGGATAGCAGAATAACTTAGGGGAAAGAATCGTTCTTAACTTTATAAACTCAGCTATACCCATCTTGAATTACTTTGTTAAATTGAACGCAGGTCAACTGATTTTTAGAACTTTAAACACAATTTTTCCCATCTTCCTTTAGAATGCGTTATTCCACCAGACTTTCTTTATTAAATACTGCTTTATATACTACCTTTGTAACCCAGACTAGCCTTGACCTGCCCTCTGCAGAATTTATCCAGCACAGAGACAACACACGAACCCGTGACCCAGACGCCAACGAAGACGCCATCGATTGCAGATACTGTCCTTGAACTCCCGCCCACGTCCTCATTCAATTTGGGTCAAATGCAAATGCTGTCCTGTTGCCGACGCTTCAGCCTCTGCTGCTGCTACTGTTTCTGTTTCTGCTCCTGACCTGACCTCGTTTCCCCAATTGGCACGAGGTCAGTGCCACAACAACGAGTACGAATCGCCCGAGGTGACGTCACCATGTAGCCCATGCCCAACAATTGCAGTTGCAACGCAAGCAGGAAGCGAAGTCGAGTAGCCGAAGAGGAGCACAAGAAGCAAAGAAGCAGCAGCATTCCTTCAGTTTTCCCTTTTCCGGCTGCTCGCTGCGGGGAGGCCCTAAATATAGAACGACTTGAGGTAGGTTCGAGCTCAACAAACGAGCGTTGCATCAACGGCAACACAAAGGAACAGCCACGAAAACCGCCCTTATGGCTGCACATGGCCCGGTGCAGCGTGTATGTACATAAATGACATGCACTCTTCCATGACGCTGCTGATAGTGGCGAGCAAGAAATGCTGGCTGCCTGTGTGCGTGTTGATTGCACTCCAGAGGATCCAGGGGAACCGAACGAAAAACGACCATAAAAAAAGTGCTTCATAAAAGGCGCTCGTGCAATAAAATATAATTAGTTGGCCGTGCAGCCCAGAAACATTTACCACAAACTTCTGGAATTTATAAAGGCAGGTCAAGCTAAAAACGTAACGCAGATATCTCAACGTTTTGATGGCGTTTTTCGGCCATTTTCATTTAAAATAATATTTAAATTTAAATAATGGAAACTATGCAATCTAGATGTACAACGAAAAAGAACATATAACTTACAAGTTGAATTTAAACCTTTTGTTTTAAAATGTTTTTTGATCATCTGAACAGTTAAGCGTTCTCCGTAATCTACGGGTCTTACCTGATGAAATGGAATTCGCTGAATCGCTTCGCGGCGTGTGCTGCATTCCCAGGCCTCCCACTCCTACTCCCATTCCGCCTCCGCCCATTCCGACTCCTCCGCCGACACCTGCGACGCCGATGAGGCCATTGGAGTTGCCATTCGCGTGGTGAAGAAGACCCATTCCGCCCCCTGCGCCACCGAGGGACTGCTGGAGATGAAGCGGGGTGGTGGGCGTCGTGGGGGTGGTGGAGTTGATAAGGCCATGGCCATTCTGCATCTGCTGCTGCATTCCGTTGAGCCCTCCATTGAGCATTCCATGGCCGTTGGCCAAGGCACCTAGATTGGTGGCGCCCGGCACATAGTGGCCATTGGTGGAGCCTCCATTTCCTCCATTGCCGTTCCCGTTGATTGGGATTATGGTGGTCTGGGCGGGCAGGGTACTAGAGCAGCCGTGCATGGCCAAAGTGATGACGCTTTGCTGCTGCTGCTGATTCAGTCCGTTGCCGTTGGAACTGCCGTACGGACCACCGGTCTCGTTGCCGCACAGCCAGAGCTCCTGGTCGCAGTAGTCGTGTGAGTCCAGCGACGAGGGCGACATGTTCACACCCGAGGGCAGGACGAGCCCGTTCGAGGAGGAGGTGACCTCGGAGGAGGACTCCTCCGGTAGCCGCGCGAAGCCGCCGTTGTTTGACCAGCGCCGCTTCATCCTCTGGTAGCCGATGGTCGCCGTTTTGGGGCCGTTTCTCGGATCACTACGCGTCGGCTGGGGACAAGGGGCTTGTCCCTGGCAGTTGGTCGATAATGCGGAGAATTGGCTTCTCCTGGTAAGATCCTTTGTTGCTGTTGCGAAGCTCGGCGGTGTGGTCCGAGGTTCGGCTTACTCTGCTGGCGGTGTTTTCTGGGCGTTTTTCTGGCTGATCTAGTATTTTTTGCGCACTTGCTTGCGTTCAAAATACATTTTCGCCCGAACTCCTGCTCATTCAGTACGCGAAACAATCAGAGCTGCAATAAAGAGCGGGTACAACCCATAAAGATGAGTCGAAAGTGTCCCCCGAGAGAAAAACCCGTTCTCCGCTCGATTCGACGGGGTTCCTTCAACATTTTGTGGTCACACTGGAAAACGACGGGACGGTTCAACGCACTTGGGCGGGGGCAAGCTCATGAAATTTTCATTTAATTTAATTGCAAATTTTCGCTCTACCTTGAGCCAAAGCTAAGCACGGAGAGAAGTGAGCTAAGCCAGCCGAAAGGAATACGTAATTCTTGAATAGATCAACAACAGGCCGACCCGACACATGTTGCGTATCTTGCTCGGAAATCTCCACCTCGTTTAGCGGGAACTCTTTTGCCAGAGATTGCAAAAATTTGATAGGCCATCTCCAACTAAATTTATTGTCATATCTTTAGTTGGACCGAAATAGATATCTTGACTTTTCTGAACAATTAATTTGTTTGTTTTTTTTCCCACTCCAAGTTGCGATTTATGGACTTTGCGAATCCTGGACACGTAATTGTCGCCAAAATTAATAGTCTATCTGTACCGTGTTCTCAAATTTCTACTGAATTTAGATATGTTCTATGTTATTGGTCCAAGCTTATCTATCACTTTGACTAGAGGTTGTTTCTACTTCCTGACTAATCAATTTTATTTCCCTATTTGCTCACATATGTGTTTGAACACTCGTCACAGCTATCTAAATGTCTTGACAATCGATTCTGTTCTATCCTCAATCCCGAATGTGTGTTTGTAACTCAAACAAAGTAGGTAAGACAAACAGAAGCAAGGAGGAGAGCGGAATCAAGACAGTTGGAGAGATTGTACACCCTTCTATGCGCTTCTCAAACTGTTAACTAACTGAGATAATGAAGGAAATAAAGGGATGATGCGATTTTTGATTCAGTAAGACATTTAAATAAAGTCCCTCAAATGCAACTTATTGAACCAAATTGCCATTGTTAAGTAGGCTTACAATTTATTATCTGATCAATCTCTGCATTACTGTCGCCATCATATAGCCACATTCGTCTCATTTGGAAAGCGGGTAATTGCTGGCACTTAATTAGTGAAAGTCGATCGATAAGCGAGACAATTGGAATAAATATTTAATGCAACCGGCATAAACTACGCTGGAAATTGCTAAGCGATTAGTCATGGTCAGGTCAGTGGGAGATGTGGATTATTCGAAAATCTTGAGCTCGAGAATTATTCGCATTTCGATACATTTTGCAATGCAAGCGGCGATTGACTCATTCTGCGACTTACAGGTGAATCATTACTTATCATACCGAGTATCGGCAGTTTAAAGATGAGTGCCTTCCAACCCGAGCTTTCTTTTATGGGCTAACCACCATTAAGACACCGGCACAACAATAACGAGAGGAAAGGAGCCAAGCGATAATAAAGCAAAAGTCTGTAACTTTTCGTCTCTTTTTGTGTTATAAAGCACCGAAAAACTGGTTTCTCCCCTGGGGGAGAGAGCGAGATGGAGCGAAAGCTTAGAACAAAATCGAAAAGAATCACGATCAAGCGTAAGAAGAAGAAGAATAATTGCTAAGAAACGGCCAGAAGAAAAGGGAAGACTATTCTAAGCTTCGGAGGGGTGTCGGGGGGTTGAGGGAAGGTGGGGCACTGAGATTTTGGCCCGCATTAAGGAAAAAAACCTGTCGCCCTCGCTGCCAACGTTGCTGCCGACTGAATTCGTCGAGCAGCAACACAAAAACAATACAAACAGGTTGTTCTTTGGCGTTTTTGCTTTGTTGTCTACAAAAATATTTCTGAAAACATCAGAAAAAGCAGCGAGCGGAGCTCGTATTTATCGCATACTATATACATTATATACGGCGTGTATATGTGCGAGATGCGCTGCGATACATATGTGTAAGCGACATTTATGGCATTTTTGTTGTCTTGTTTGGTCGTTGTTGATGTTCTCTGTTGCGTTGCCTCCTTATTTTGCTCATTTTACTTTTTCTGCGGTTTTCCCTGTTTTTTTGTTATGCTTCTGGGATTCAGGTTGGAGTACAAAAGGCGTGAAAAAAGAGTCGGGAAGCTAAACGCGCAGACTCAGATGACTTCGTTTATTCTTAAGCCTCAGATCGAGAAAGAAGTGGAAATAAGAACAAAACAAAACGGAAAATTCTTCTGCCAGCTGAAAAATTCGTTACGACTCGAGTGATGGATATATGGCATAGGAAGAGGGGGTTTATCGACGGGAAGGTATAGCATACAAGTCTATTTATAGAATCGTAGAATACATAATGGGAATTTCAACAGTCAACAGGTTGGGAGTTGTACAGCCAATTTCCCTTCACGTTCAAGTAGATCCCACGAGATTTGGGCCTCTAAAATCGAGGTCTGATCATATCTGGTTTGGATCTGCGCTCAATTAACTCAAATAATCGTATGGATCTGATTGAAATCAAACAAGGGATTTGTCTTAATGAATTCTTTAGTACTCAATATTATGGAACACTAAAATACTCATTCCAAGCATATAAGCTACTATTGCCTAAGGAGAGTTGTAATTGTTAGAAATCTAGTATATTTCGGAATTCTATTGATTGAAGACTTTACCCATTTGACCCCAAAAACCGGACTGACCCCCGATTATAGTACGGATATCCTGCTGGAACGTTTCCACAGCTAAAGTATGTCAATGACTGGCACGCGACAACCGATTGTCAGGAGAGCCAGCCCCATTCATTCCCTATCCACCCAGCAACTGGCCCAAAACAACGTTCTCAAATGCAATAAACTTTATGAACAGTGCGACAGTACAACGCCAACAATTGTTGTACACGCTACTGAAATCGATGGGTGGTGGGAATTTAAGCTGGGAGCCCATGCCTCCTACTCGTGTAGAGCGAAAACAATTAAATATCCGCTGCCGGCTTGTCCAGTTGGTAGTCTAATAGGCCCACAAACGCAAATCCCCATCAGTGAGCACCCTCACATACCATAGCAAGTACGAATACGAATACGAATACTCCTGTGAGCGGATCCTTTTAATTTCCTGCTGTTATTTTCCTGCACGTAGAGCCAGCGCCGCGTGATTTCCATTTGCTGATGATTCAAAGGGGAAAAGGGAGGAAAACATATGCGACACATTCCCACAAACTCCTGCCAACTAAGAAAATAAAGCCAAATGATAATGGGCCCCAGGGAAGCAAAAGGGCTTTAACTAAAGAGAAATAGGGAAGCTTTCAAAGAGAAGGAAAACCAGAGCAAGGCAATGGGTAAGGCTTCCCCTGATGTTATTTCATTATTGATGATGATGGTGTCACAATCTACATTTCCCTGCATTTACTCACATATTATAAAAAAATTTTATTTAAAGAATTTTGATTTTAGGGTTCAGTTTATAATATGAGGCGATAAACTATTAGTGGTTACAAAAATTAGATTTAAAGTATGATTAGGAATAAACCACTAAATGGATTGTCGATAATTTAATAACCTTATCGGTTCCTCTGAATTTATGGTTATGAAAAAAAGATTATACTCTATAGGTAAGTTGAACATGGCGCCAAACTTATGTCCTCTGAAAAGATGATTGGACCAAAAGGTCTGTTGGGGATTCTGGGTTGGCCTCGTTTCTTTTTTAAGGTAGAGCCTGGTCTCACCCGTGATTTCTGCTCGAGATTGAGGTCTAAAGCAAACAAATCAGACTGAAGAGTGACCAAAATAAAAATAAATATATGTGCGTATGCGAATGTCTAAGAAATTCGTACGTATCTCAGCCAAACCGCTGAAAACTTAACGGTTGTTTCTCTCCATATCTCTCTACCTATCTCTCTCCCACTACCAATCGCAATAAAATCCAACGCAAAACAGGTCGAGCTTTGCTTTCCGCGAATTCAGTTGTCTGTGTATTCGGACGGTTGACTTTATTTTGTTAGTGGTTTTCTCTTGAAGTTTGCTGATTTGGTTAAACATGAAAAATTGTGCCATTCAATTGACACATATCCAATATTTGGCTTAAGACAAAATCAAAAAAGGCAGGTGAAGTTCACTTCGGTTGGAGCAAGTGAATCACCAAAACAAAAATCTTTTTCGGAGATTATTACTTTTTTAAACATTGTATTAAAATAAGCGAACATTAAAAGCATTAGCCACTTTTTATAAGTCGGCTATAACACGGAACCTACATTTCCAATAAAAGCCTCTTAAACTTTTCTCATCAGTATCCCTTCAGCTGTTCTGATTCCCAGGCTGATCTATTGCACATGCCGGATCTCCCAGAGTCCCTTAGAACAATTTACATGGATGTTCTATTCAATTCTATCGGCCAAAGTCTTTGCACACAAAATCAATTAGCAATAAAAGCAAAAAAAAAAGCGATAGAAACTTTTTAATGCTATGGCCCGAAAGAGATTTATAGCATTTGGCAATGGCCCGTTTTCGGCTTTTTCAGAGCACTTCAAGCGAAAATATGTGCCAGGGCACGCGTTTCAATTAATAGCCTAGCAAATTAATAAATAAAAAATACCGCAAACGCTAATTTAGAACTTTGGGTGTTTTATAAGCACACAAAAAGGCAAACAGCCTTGAAGCATCAAACAGCTATCAGCAAATAGAAGAATAAATATTAGCTGGCGAGAGGAAAAAACCCCAAGCGAAGCGTCACAGTTGGTCCAAAGTTTAGGACAACTGGTTGAGGTTGATTGGCCCGGCTCAAAAAATGCGCTTCAATCATTTCCTTTTCCGGTTAAGCGGCGTCTCTCTCTGTTTCCACTCTGCGCCGTCTACGATTTGCATTTATAATCGATAATAACATTTGCATATGTGGATCTGACTGATTGCCTGACCTTTTCGGCAGCGAAGAAGACACATTGAAGCCAATACAGAATGACAAAGCGGCGTGGACGAACAAATGTCTACAGATAAGATCAAAACAGTCTTAAGAAAGCTTGCGAAAACTTCCCTCATGATGTTACTCGAAAATAAATTTGGTTTGCGGGGATTTGACCAACGATATTTTCGAGAAAATGTGCACAAAACACAAAACAAACAGGGCATTTTTCGGCATTAGTCATTAATTTTATTAGATATATGGGAAAAAGTCAATGCCGAGGTCATTACCATAACAGTCAAGTCTTAAACTTGGTTATGTATGCATTACAACTGGCTTTTCGCCATGCTCGGCTAATCAACTACAACAATGAAATTGTAGCAACAACTAGGAAAATTGTGGAAAGTCATGGAAAATCTTCGTCAGCGCGTCATCGGCAATTGTCTGCGAAAGTGTTGACAGCTTGACTGTGAAAGTCCACGAGAGCGGTGGAGACGTCGGATGAAAAACTCGTTCCGATCTCAACTGCTATATGGCAGGGTACTGCTAATTGCATATATAGTAGACACATTTGCTTGCAGCAAGAACAGCGAGCGAGCGTGCAGGAAAGTCGTCTAGAAAAAGGCTGACAAGATAAGACACTCAATGCAATTGCCACAAGAGCACAGACAATGGCACCTGTTTGCCCATTCCCATTCCTCTGGGGGCGGAAAACTATCACCCGGGGGTTGGGAAAATGGGGGTGGTGCACTGTCTCATGACCCACTGGTCTGCACCCATCGATACGTCCACCTCCCCAACCGACGTTACATTGAACCTTGTTGAATGGGAGTCTCAACTTGGGTTGCATGTTACACTTTCGAAATAGTTATGATGTGCCATGAATAGTGTGATTGGGGTTGGTTGATGGTGTTTAATAATATGAAAAATTAATTCCCAGTAAAGCTATGCTATATGATTACAAAAAAAGAACCTATAAAACATATTCTTTAGCAGAAAAAAGAGTAGCGGGTTCGCATTTGATGTACTCGTACTAACTTAAAAAAGTCACCGAAAAAAACGACATAAACAACTTCCGAGTGCCATATAGTGATATAAACTCGCCCATTAAGCCCAGAAAACCTCGAACTTAGAGTGCAGCGAGGAGCCAGACAAAAAAAGCATTGGGAATACTCAACGTGGTAGCCGGCATGGGTCGCAAAACACTGGGCTCCATGTTTAGACATACATGTGTCTATATATTTGCATAAAATCGCATTAAAATTTGCCATTTTGCCAACTTTAATGTACCATAAAACACAAACAACAGCGGCGAAGACGATGACGATGATGTCGACGACGCCATAGGAAACAAGTAACTTTTTTGTGTTGTTTGCTTAGTGTCCAGAAAGTGTAGCAAAGGAGAAATAGCGAATAATTTAATGTGCAAAAAAAGCGGTAGAGAAAGAAATGAGAACAAAAATAAGAGCCAAGAAGTCGAAACTTTAACCAGTCCCGCCCAGGAAACGAAGGCCAACGGGTGGCAAAGGGGGTCTGGAACAAATTAATTGTGGGAGAGTCTAACTAATGTTGGGGACTTTACTCCAGAGCTGATGCCACAATGTTACCTAATGCCTCATTAAGCGCCTAAAGTTAGTCAAAACCCAAAACACATCAGAGAAATTGCTTGAGAGGCCCAAAAGGGAATTTAGATCTATCAAAAAAATCATGGGTTGGCAAAATAAATTCATGAAAAATAATATTGTTGAAAGGAGCACTCGTTAAATATTTTTTAATTGTGAGAACTTAAAAAGGCATTTATTGCAGATTACATTTTTGTAAATTCATCTTTAAAACTTTTTCCTTTTCATATAAACTTCATACTACATTTTACACTTGTGGAATTCATTCAATGGCTCAAATTCAATCGAATTGTTCTTGAACCTACTTCCGCCACTCAACCAAACCAATTTGTTTTACACCGAATTAAACCTCATCAACAGAATATTTGCGTAAATCAGAGCGAATCGACTGCCTGAGTTCAATCAGTGCCCACTCGAATATCAATATGCGAGTGAATTTATGGATATTCATGCCAATTACGCAGTCAAGTGCTCGCCTAGACCAATCCAAATCCCAATCCCCCTGCACACATATAAATCGAGATATAGTGCCCCGAAAGATACGTATTTATTTATGTTTACGCAGGCGAAATTTACAATTTTCAGCGTTCACTCTTTAATTGGCCGTCTGTCAGTTGTCATGACAATAATTAATGTACTACCAATCGAACGTCCATCCCCCCCACATGTGTATCTCCCTGGGACATCATATAGCTGGTATCTGCCATATGTATCCTTCTCTGCCTATGCTCTCTGTGTATCTTGGTAATGTAGTTTTCATTTCGGCTGGACGGAACAAGAAATGGAAATTGATTTTGTTCACACGAGGTGACAAGTGAGCCAAAACAAACACATTAGGGTCGAAAAAAATTCGAAAATGCTTTCTTTTTTCGGAATAGCGAACTTGTTGCTCGATTCACATCTATCGCTGGGCAGTTGACCACAAAATGTTGGAAATGGAAAACGAGTCTATTGGATTCCCCAGGTGCCCACACACTACTCACCATATGCATCGATATAGTGCGCCAGTTCTGCTACTAATCCACAAGTATCCATGGGCTCACTGTGTTCTTGAATGGAAGATATTCCAGTTTGGAATATTTGGTAAATATCTTTTCTTTTCACTATATGTATATATTTGTAAAAGGGAATCCACAGCACAAATCCCTTGCTCACTCACTCGCGCACTATCTTTGAGATACTATTGTGGGATGCGGATAATAATAATGTCTACGGCGTTCCACAGACGTCGACTAGACTCGTCTGTTCGCCGCTTTGTTGATGTTTGTTTCGATTTCAATTTCGAGTTCTGTTTTCCTGCTTTCACCGTCGTCGTCGTCGGGAATCTTCCTATTTACATTTCGGTCCCGTCGAATTCCCTCATCCGCGATTTGCACTATGCAGCCGATGATGATATATAATATCTGTACAAATATGAATATATGCTCTCCGATTTGCGTTATTTAAAGAACTATGTGTGTTTCACCTCCGCCTGCTTCTTCACTACGTTTGTATGTATGTATTTTTCCTATTTTCTGAGGTTCAGCTACAATGCATTTGCACTTTATTTCAATTTCTGCCGATGAATTGCACTTGTTGTTTTTGTTGTTGTTGCTTGGGGGAGGGCTGGGTATTATTCGGGACTTTTCTAACAATTTCTTTTCTCATAAATATAAGTGTATAGGCGATTTAAACATGTATTTTATTTGGTTGCAACATTTTGGGTTTTTGTTTTGAAACGTTCGGTGTTTTTTAATGGGAAACCGTACTGGTAGATATATTGTATCTTGTATCTTGTAGTCAGACGAACGCGATCGGGCGTCGAACGTGCGAGCGAGCAACCGTTAACAACAGAGTCCAAAAAAATACTAAATCTACGAGTGAAACGAACAGAATGTTAAACGCGAAATTCTCCCAGTGGCGAACCACTGAACCACCTCAAAATCGTCGGCGTCGCTCAGTCGGGAGCGAACTCACCACACACTCTCACTCGCACCACACCACTCGCACCACACCACCCCGCGTGGGGAGGGGGGCGGCAGCGAGAGTCAAAAGCGGAATCGGCGCTAAAGTTAAATGGGAAGCGCAGACAGCACTCACTCACACAGAGGCACGGGCACACTGAGCGAGCGGCTTGAATGAAAAATGCCGATGCAATCTGAGATACTCTTTGTTCGCTCTCCGCCACGTTTCTCTCGGTTCGTGAGTATTTTGTATCTGTGAGTTGTATGCAAGCCTGTATGCGGGAGAGCGCCCGCTTTGCCCCAGTGTGCGTGAGTGCCATCATCGCTTTCCTTTCTCACTGTCTTTATTTTCGGTTTTCTACACTTATTTATTGTGTTTTTTTTCGTTCGTCGATTTTCGTTCGTCGCTACTTTCGGGTGCACAAGTGCAAATTCACACGTACATTCGAAATGTACTCGCACAGTGGGACAAAAAGGCTATAATTTGAAGTTGAAAAATTGGAATGCCAACTGGAAAAAATTCCGGATGCATTATGTATAATGGTCGCTCAGAAAAAAGTACGATAAGTATTTTTATTGATCGAAGAAAGTGGATAACTGAATTGCTTTCTTGATTTCATTAATGTGAAAATAATTAAGGAATTACTTTTATAGAAAATAATCAGATTGTTATAACGACCAGCAATGACACCCATAAGTCTATTAGCTCCCATGCCAATCGTTTGGTTACAAATATTGAGGTCTCCCGACCCATTTACAAGGGACCTTAAAAAAAATGTTTAAGATTTCTAAAGAGGTGTTGCTTGTTTCATAAAGGTGCAGATAACATCGCTTTTCCGATGTTTTAACAAGAAATCATCTCGATGATTCGTGTTGATGCTTAAACACAAATGTAGCACTCTTTTGAAACTCAAAATGTTAATATCTTCCAGGATCAGACCAATTGGTGATTTTTATAGATTTAAAAAAGAAGAAAATGTAATCGATTCATCTCCCCAAAAATACTTTCTCACAACAGATGAATGAGTAATAGCCCAAGACCGAATAGATCACAGAGTCTACCGAAGGCCCTAACAAATTTGTTGCAAGCGGAAACCAACTGAAGTTGGCTATAATATAGACACCGGCAATCGAACGAGAATATTGACACTGCTGAGACGTAATTGATGGAAAGGCAAAAAGATCAGCAGGGCAAACAGAACGAACGCAGATCAAACTAACGCAAATCATGAAAAAGGCACAAAAGTATCTATGAGTACGTATGGAAATATATATATACACACGTAGTACCGCCGTCTGTTGGGCGGCGTATAAATTGCACATTTCGAATACATTGTGGTTAAAAAGTAAACGCAAAGCAAAGCGAGATACTCAGATACATTTACGCACACATCGCTGCAGATAATTGTTTGCGCCTTCCCAACCCCCCCACCTGCCCCATCGCCTCCTCTTGGGTACGTTTTTATTGTACATGGATCCCTGTGTGTGCGTTGAGTTGACGCTGGGCAAGTTCAAGTGTAGAATGCAATAGAGAATTGCATTTGCCAGAGCGAGAGAGGGAGACCCCGAAAGAGAGAGCTATGAGTTTTGCTCCCGCTCTCTACGCATACGCATAGAAAAGCCGGCAAAATGCAAGGGCAATAGTGCAGGGGTATGGGTTCGATGATGGTTTGTGGGGGTGGAGGGGGTGGTGCTGTTGATGGTGGTGAGCATGTGGTGAGTTTCGCTCTGTTTGGGGTTGGCTAGACACATTGAACCACAAAAGTTCAAGATGAAAACACAAAATATCAACAATGACAGCTGAGTAGTGGGAACGAGACATGGTCGTAGGTATTCGGGGGTTTATAGAAGGGGTCTCTCTCCTTTTGTCTCTCTATTTGTTTGGGTGTGTGTGGGTGGAGAGGGGAGGAAGGGGGGCTACCAATACAAACACAGCTGCCATCCATTACTGCGTCTATGATGCCTCTTCTGCTCTTTCGCTTCCCTCACCCACATTCTTCTTCTCCATTCCTCCCTCACTTTTCTCCCCCACCCCCACCACACCCCCTCCCTTCTTGGCCGACTGCCAAACGACTCTCAGTTCAGTAGTACACTGGAGCAATTGCTTAGAGTATGAGTGCAACGTGTATCTGTGTTTCAGCTCTATATGTATCTGTGTGTATCTGCATGGGTGCGAGAGAGAGTTCGTCTAGTTGCGGGGGTGATGGGATGGAAGGGGTCGACCGAAGTCATGTGCATGCCGTTTGTTGGGGTAGTTCGCCGGCAAATGAAAGAAATAGAAAATAGCCAAATGATATGTAGTATAAACTTTCGTGGGTCGCCAGGAATAGGCCATACTTTTTAACAGAAACGAGAATGGATTGCCTTTGGGTTTAAGTTTTAGTTAAATATGTTGACTAATAAGATTGATTTTTCTGAATATATGATTACGGAGTGATTAGCTAATGGTCCTCTTACTGAAGATTGCAGTAAACTAATCAAAGCTCTAGTTCATTACATGCATCTTTAACATTGCATGTCAAGAGCACGTTCTCCTAAGATAAGATAAAATAGGATTCCTCTCCTTTATCCAATTCGAATTGGTTACCTCTAGGTCGGAACTAGTTCAATCTAATTCGTTATATCCCATGGGATAACAGCACTTAAACCGAAACCAACAGTTGTTGCAGCCCACAGATACATTATGTATCTGTGCACCACTCTCCAGCCATCTGCTCTATGTGTGTGTCCGTGGGTATCTGTGTGCAATTGGCGAGCGAGATAGCTGGCTAGAAAACAAAAATAAAAAAGAAGAAACAACAAAGGAGAAAAACTTGTCTACATGCCTGTCGCACAAGCTGCAAAATTTATGCGAAGACACACAAATCCACTGAACGAGAGACCGACAACGCTGCTGCCGATGGTTGTTGTTGTTGGTGCTCTGTTGTTGTTGTTGTCGGTGCCTGGTGTTTTTGATTTCTTGCCCATAGACAGGCTGCACCAATCTGCTCCACAACACCCCCCTGCCTACTCCACCACCAGGCTGAACTTTTTAAATGCATAAAACGCCGACATAGACACACAGAGAAAAAATCGTTTCGATTCAATCAAAAAGGGAAAAGAACCTGTTACCTAATAAACCTTAAAATTCTAGATAAATGACTGACAAAAAGTGTTCCAAAATTTTAAAAAACTACGAAACTTGTTAAAAAAAAATCGTATATTAATTAACAATAAGAAATATCCTCTATATTTTATGGTTGATCAAACTTTTTTTCACCGTGCACGGACATAATATTATTTTGTTGGATTTTCTTTGCCCGTCTGGTTTGCCTTGTTTGGCTTGGTTTGCTTCGCTTCGGATCGCATCGGATCGGTTCGGTTTGCCGTTTGGTATGATTTTGACTTTGAATCGGGTGCCACAAAGAGAGGGAGGGCGGGTGAGGCGAAGGTAGGAGGCAAAGTCAGGTTTAATGTCGTTCAGTGGCGCGGCGACGTTTTGCAGTTGAGGTAGTCAGAGCCACGAGACAAAGATAGGGGGCAGCCAGTCGGCCAGTGAGAGGGGGTGCAGGGGGGTGCAAGGGGGTGAAAGGGGGTGAAACGGGCTGACAGTTGGGCTGGCGAACGACGACATCAAAAGTGGGCTGAGGCTGCTCGTGGGCAAAAAGGAACCCAAGACACCGCGCCACTGTGTGCAAATAGTCAAACACTGCACTATGGGGAAAAATTCCGTTTTTTTGGCATAAACTCTAGTTTTAAAGATAGGGCCTTGAAAATTATAATATATACTCCTTATGCACAAATAGAATTTCGGTTTTTTCCATTTTTTGAAAAAACCTTACGGTTGTAAAAACACCACCCACAGCCACCCACCCACCACCTCCCCATTATGGTCAACCCCCTAAAAATTTGTAAGAATATTTTTTTTATTAATAAAAAACATTTTTATATAGATAACTTATGTAAGATATAATATTAATAAAATAAAATTTAATTATTCTCCATCGAAACTCTCTGAAACAAGCAAGAAAGTTAAAAAATTGGGTTTGTGTTATGGTGTGTTTGCCATACCTAGACACCAACTTCAATCATTCTTCTTCAGGTTCTGCTTCCAAATAAACACTATCCAAATCAAAGAAATTGATTTCACCATCTTCGTCTTCCTCCGTACTTTCAATATCGTTTGTAACATCGGAATTCATATGCAGCTAAACAGTGATTTATTGAAAAAGGGGCAAAAACGGGCAAAAAGCAATGATAACACCTGTTTCTTTATCATTTTGTTAATACATTTATATTACAACCTTGCGTCGATCGGCGTAGATTCTTAACTAAAGCTTAACAGAACACAATAACTTTTGTTAGTTTTCGGCTAAAAGAGACATACACAAGACATTAAACAACAGGACAATGCAAACAGTTACAACACAATTTGTTTTAAGAAGTATTTAAGCATACCTTGACGTAAATTTTCCATATTTTTGTTTATTTTTTCGCCCTCTGAACACTTTGCACGACGATGGGAAACTTTGGAGTAAAATTAGCGCGCTTTTTCTTAGAGATGAGCACGTTAATCGATAGAATTTGATAGGCTACAACAAATTATCGGTGGCACGTAAAATTTTTTTTTAAATTGTTCTAATAAGTTTAACCGTTTTACTATTAAAATAAAATATTTGTTTTTTAAATTAGTAACTTTTATTTTTTGCGTTTATGCCAAAAAAACGGACTTTTTCCCCATAGTGCACTGGTGGTTGTTTACCGATAAGCGTCTATGAATGGGTGATGGTGATGGAAGTTGGTGGACCGAAGGAGGGCCAAAGTTGTCCCGCCGGAGAGCATGTACTGCTATATATATATTGGTATGTACATGGAATCGGCCGCAAATGGGTGGTGAGAAGGTCGTGTCCAGGCACAGTGGGACAAATTGAGAAAGTGCCATGCGTTATGTGGTAGTAAAATTGTTGTGGTTCTTCAAGAAGAAACATTAAATTAATTTTCTAAATTTTTTTCTACATCTGTAACATGCCAAGAGATCATGTGATAGATATAAAAAGTAACTATGTTGGGGTGTTTACTAACTAATAATATTAAAGTCTCATTTTCAAACCGACGAGGCCAACTACATACATCAGAAAATCAAAACGTCGTTTTAAGAAAAAATGTTCCATAGTTGTTATTATGTAAAGTTGTTCAATTACAAAGATTCCTTTTCGATTGCAGCTTGTACTGTGCATGAATACATGCAAAAGTATATCCATTCATTAAAACTACCTTCCCCACAAACCAGTATCTTTAAGTCAATAACCATTTCTTTATGCCACTTTCTGTACAACAATGCCCCTAATGCATTTTTCTTATCAATTACATTTTTAGGTCCCCACTTTGTTTCTTTTATATAGGTTCACCTAAATAAATTATGTCGTTCTCAATTTACATTGACAAATCCATTGCCTTTTATCAGGAACATGTGCCCATTTGGATAAAAATAAGTGGCTGATGAATTTTATATTTACCTTAATTAAATCCAGCACAGAAAAATCATAAGCTTACCTGAAAAGAAAGAAAAATAATTGGTATTAATTAGCGGATATTTGAAGATATACTTTTTTTTTTATTCTATGCATATGTATAACATACAATTTATCCTACCGAAGGTCTCTGCTGCCCTAATTCATTAACATACTCAATTCATTGACAAAAAATTAGTAACAATTCTCCGCTTAACATATATTCAGCAACGATTCTCACTTTGGTTTTGCTTTATTTTTATCGTCATATTTTTCCTCATTTTTGTTGGGTGCGGAAAAACCTTGACTGAGTTAAGCGTTTCACGCTTGCCAAGCGTGCAATTTCCTTAACCTAGCCGGTGTCTGAGTAATTTGCATTTTGAAGTGCAGGAGACGCTGGGGAGTCAATGTAGCCTCGGAAAGGTACGTATTGAGGATTGAATTGAGGTATTATCCAGGCTCCAGTCAATCCAAGTCTGGGCTCTAGCAAACTCTGAGCAGAGCACATAAATCTTTATTATTCACCCGCGCAGTCTGTGACAAGCGTCGGCAAATAAACATGAATGAGAAATGCAAATTGAATTTGAAAATTGCGAACCGAAACTTGACGGGCTGTCTACAAAAGTAAAAAGTTAAATTAAATATATAATGACAAAAAAAAATTAAACTGCCTTTCAGCGGTTGGTGAGGGGTCTTGTCACAAGAATTTTTATTCCAACATTTGATTTGAATGTTTAAGATCCCGCCACAATATTTATACGAACTTAGCTAATTTAATAAGGGGTTTTATTAGTTTTATTTAACACAAAAAAAAGAGTTTTAGATAAAAAAAATAAATAAAACCATTTAAAGAATGGTGATTAATATAGAATACATGATTTCAAAAGAGTTTTGTTTATTTATTGGCATACAATCGTGCTTTAGCGAAACGGACTGTACGTCCGATATTCATGTTACGTGCGATAATTCAAATATATTTTCTGATTTATGTTGACGACCCATTATTTTATTCAAAGTGACAATTTGAGGCGTTTCTGGCATTCGACTATCCACAAATGAGTTCGGAATGCGTATGTGAATGTGTGGCATCCTCCGGGGTGCCAACGAATTTGATCGTAATGCCCACTGACAGCCAGTCCCCCAGATTGCATACTAAGCAGGAGACTGAGTGTGGGGTGGGCGTGCCCTTGTCCCGTCAGTTATCGATAACAATTTCCTGCACAGTTAAATCGAAACGCAGCACGGCGAAAAACAAAAACTCATCAGCATTCAGAGGTGGTGGGGGTAACTAAACACTTGTTGCCGCCGCCCATTCCAGCTCATTTTAATGATCTTTCTAGCTTAGTGGTAGGGTGGCATAGGGTGTTGTAGGTTGGTATAGGGTGCTGTAGGTTGGTATAGGGTGGTGTAGGGACACCCTACACCAGAATAGTGGTCTAAGTGCAACACGCGACACTGCGATTTTGCCGAGGGGCGTTGGGCACTAATGCTCCAGTAAGCAGCTGACAACGTTGACCGATGAAAAGCTTCTGGTTACAGAAATAGCCACGCACTTGCCACAACACAGACTGCGTTGTACTCAATTGGGTTCCCTATGCACCCACCAACCACCCCTCACTACCCGCACTCCACCCCTCGAACTAAGGCCAACTTCTGTAAATTATTTTTAAATTGCACATATTTAATCAAGTGTGAAGTCTGCTGTGCTGCTGTCGCAGCACTTTGTATGCATGTCAAACAATTAATTAGTGCAAAATTTTCGCACTGTTTGGTTTTTTATTCATTTTGTTTTCTTATTCGAAAGTTTATTTGCCTTGAACTTGAATTCCATGGGGAAAGATTTGCTGTAGCAGCTCATTTGTGTTTAAGTACATGTCAAATTAGTCATTATTAGTTTAGATTATGAATAATTTACAAGATTATTCATTGCGCTTTTGCTTACCAAAAAAATGTTCTTCACCAAAAAAAACATTTTAATATTGGTTTTTGCATCTGCAGCTTTTCGACGCATGAACAATGAACCCAAATTCTTTCAAATTTCAGCGATTTGTCACCAACAACTAATTTAGGCAGCCAGATGTCGCTTTGGCACTCTTGAAATGCATATATGTACACACTCACACTCACAAGTAGGTGTTTTATGTGAATAATCGTTCGCCCACCGAAAGTTCATTGTACGAGTCGCGACGCAATTGCTGCGGTTCTTACTCATTTTGGCTTCTCGCTAAGCGCCGAGTTTTACCTAATTAAGTCAACAAAGTGGGAAAGCCCAAACCAGCACATGTATGTGTACAATATCTGCGATACCGACCTAAAATATAACCTTTCATAAAGTTGGAAAAATAATGGTCGTAAACAAATGCCCTTGCCGAATTATTTCCTAAACGTATTTTCTAATCGTTGAAAAAATTCAGATCGTTAGCCTAACATGTTTTGAAGTCTAAAAAATTATACTTGTATCATCGCAAAACTTGATACGCTATTAAAAACTTTTATGTTATTTGTTACCTTGTTATCAATTTTAGAAAAATAATAGGTACATATACATTCAAATTGTTTAAAAACCTCGCAATTTCTTACAATGTTAACTTCCTTTGCTTATCATTTTTAGATGAATACAATTTATAAATTTGTTCCTGCTATCAAAAAATTAACTTGTAAACAAACTCGTTACACTTTTGTATATAATAGTAATCGAATTAAAATTATACTAAAATGGAAAATCAAATTAAGTGCAATAACCAAATTAATCCTAATTTCATAAACAGACCCCTTAATAAAATTGTAAATTATAGAGCAAAGCAGGCTGGGAGAGTAGTTTAATGGGAAGACTTCAGCTTTTAAAATTCATACGTGATTCCACCATCATTATCACAAGCAAACTGAACAGAAACACGAGAATTTCGAGCATGGAAAACCTCACATTAGCAGAACTGATGTGGGACAGCTCCCCGAAAGTGGGACTGCGGGGATACGACGGAGGCAAGGACGTGAGTGTTAGGGGCATAAATTCCTTCGAGTTGTACGTGAGCTTCCTGTGGATATTCGCCTGCATCTACGGCCTCTCCAAACTGACCCAACTCGTCGAGCGGATCCTTGGGCAGCGGCTGCTTGGCCAAAAGCAATGGTACGACGTCCGTTCAATCAAAAGCGAATGGGACCTTACCCTGCAACTGTACGAGAGGGACAAGCGCCAGCTGGACGCACAGGTGCGGGAGCTGCGCGAAAAGAACCTCAATATGGAGCGCACGATGATCGACCTGCGCGACTGCAACATCCACTTAATCAGCGAGAACTTTATGCGGTCCGTGATGCAGGAACAGGTGAGCACAAAACATTATATTTATTCATGTATTTATATTTTAACCAAATTTCAATCGTATTCGTATCAGAATCAGGCTAGAATTGCCTTAAAAAACATATCGGGAACAATCACATAACCGAAATAAAATGTAAAATGGTTTTAAAACCTTATTATGACTCATAAATTGGTTTTAAACAATATAAGAATCTTAAGAGCACGAGAGATTAAATCTGCATAACCATTAAGGAACCTACAGGATAGAAATAAAATAAAAAATATCTAGTTGACATTAAAACCAAAAAAGTTATAACATCTTATCTTCTTTTCATAGATTCCGCAACCACCACAATCGAATATCTACATCACCAACACCCACTTTCACCTCACACGCCAGATGTTCGTGAACGAGAGTCTCATCGATGGTAATATGCACAACGCTGGCGGAAAGGATACCGAGTCCATGGGCGCCACAAGGGGGGAGGGTGAGGGGCAGCTGAATGTCTGGCTGCAGTACATGAAGATGCGCAAGTGCTATATTGGCCCAATCGCTGATCCAAATTTGATAACTTCCAGCAGTCCAGATCAGATGCTACCCATTGTTATGTCCACCGAGCAATTGGCCAATTTGCAGGGTATGTCGAATTGATTTTACAAAGTGCTAATAATCATTGGGTTCTTTTCAGGTATGATCTAGTTGATTTCGTTTTGCATTTCAAAATTAAAATTCTCTTGTTATATATATGAAAGAAAAAACAAAAAATCATCAAAAAAAAAATATAAAAAATTGTTAGTTTATTTACCAATCTATTTATTTGTGATGATGGGATAAAATTTAGTAGCTGCGTTATACTCATTTCTTTGACCCCCGATGAAAGGAAAATCTTTCTTTGAGAAAACCACTTGAATACCCACTATTTGACGTATTTTAAACGGAAATGTCAACTAGTCCAGTCGGTTGATTTATTTCATTTGTATTTCAAATTCAATTTCCGCTAAGTGCTTCGGGCCACGCCAAATCGCTTTTATTTGCCTAACCACCTACCACCCCCTCCGGCCCCTCCCCCTTTGGTGGTCTTCATGTCAACATCTGGCGGAAACGAAACAAAATAAATGCAAAATATGCCTGTCTGCCGGTCTGCCAGTCGGTCGTCTGTTTGTTCCAACTGGGAATGGAACTGCTAAGGCGGTGACTTATCAAGGCAGAATTAAGCGATTGCTTTCTTCAGCACTCCCTGCCCATTCTGCCGGCACTCTCCATTTTATTTTCTTTGCCAAGGGGTCAGTGGCAGTTATCGTTGCAATTTTGTAATCAGTTGCCGACTCAAGGTTAAATGCTCGCAGGCACAGTGGTTCAAAGTCTGTGGGTGCAAGTCCTAGTCCCTACTTCTTTTCACCTCCCAATTTCCTTCCCCTTGTTGCCAACAAGGTTTCGCGAATTTATTTGCTCATATCGAGAGTCGCCATATTTGATTTACATTTGTTCGAGTGAAGCGCGATTGTTGTTTTTGTGCGGCTACTTTGTGGGTCATTTGCCTGTCTGGCTCATGAGTATATGCATGTGTTCAGTGGCGTAGCTGGGGTTTGATTAGGGGGGTTCTCAAAAATAATTGTGTGTATCATGGGTTTTTGCATGGTGTTTTTGGGGGGCTAACCCTACGCACCCTCCTCTTTCCCCCTTTCTACGCCCATGCATGCATGCACACACTTGGAACTGGAATCGGGTTTATTTCGTTTTTTATTTGTGATTGTCACATTGTTGATTTAGATTTATTGCCATTTAAATGCAATTTCATTGTATATTCTGGATCAGTATTGTGCACTGAATTGGGTCTTCCCTTTCTGCCCCTGCACTCGCATTTTCTGTTTTCGCTGTCTGCTTTGACAATGATGACGCTGATGAAGCCTAAATCGATTAGCGGTGAATGCTGTATAAATAATTGAACGGATGAAGTCACTGAACTAATTCAAAAACTCGTGCTCCTCAGTATACATTTTTTATTTGATTTCAAGTAAATTATAAAGAACGTTAAATATTTTATTTCAATGAGAAGAAAAATAATTTTATAAAATAGTTCAAGGAATCTTGACTACTGCTTTGCAAGCTTTACCTTTGAGTCCTGTATATGAAAGTAAAATGAAAAATTAATTAGATAATGTTCACCAGTACTTTGTCCTATTTTTATGGCTCGCTATTACCCCAATTACTGGGTCAGGGTCTCGTAACACAACCAACGTCATTGGAGCGCCCGCATCTTGTAATTCTGTTCGACTTTACCTAAACATTTTTATTGTTATGCACTTGATAACCATTCGAGCCGAGTTACCTGACTGGCCACGCCCATATAAACCTGGTGCAACATGGATGACGCATTAGCCGGTGTTTATTTCTTTGGCCAGCGTCTTATGCCAATCACCTACGCAAATGGAAGTCGTAGACGGCAGTTGGCTTATTATAGTTGGTTATTTTTAGATCACCCACTACGCGTGGCGCTTTACACTTGACCAGCATCGTCTGACATTTTCATGGCTAATTTGCTTACCGCTTCAGGCAAGGAATTAGAATCCGCCGACCGCAAATAAGTTCGCACATTAACCCACAAACCGGAGAGGGAGCGCCGGAATAATCTAATCGTTAATTGGCACACTAACCCCAAACAGAAATTGCGCTGCCATTGGCCCCATTCCACTCTCACTGATAAAAATAGTTTACGTTTTATCAAGGTTATTTGCCAAAAAAAAAAAAATGGCAAATAGAAAAAATCAAACAAAAGCGAAAACGAAAGTGGGCGCCAAAGCAAAAACGAGTGCGAGGGTGTGTGAATAGATAGACAGCGCCGAATACAATTGGGAACGACCTTGAGATAATGCCCTCATTTATGCATTTGATATTTGTTTATTTACAGTCTAAACAGTAGGTAGAACTGGAGGAATGGAAACATTTTCCGCATGCTGAGCCGTAAACGCTAGGATGATGGGTTTTCTATCAGTTAATTGTTTGCCGATAATAATTATAAACCAAAATGCCTTTAAAAAATATGTGTACTTATTTCTAACTTAAATCAGTTTTAATTGTAAGATTATTTCTACAAATTTCACAAAAAAAGCTTGAGCTAATAAATCATCAGCTTTCAAAAAATGATCAAAGTAACAAAAAAAAAAAAAAAAATTACAAGATTTACCAAATGACAAATATAACTTCAAAAAATTTTTATTAAAATTATATATTTAAAAATATATAAACATTGTTTTCGTCATTCATTTTTTAATTTTATATTTTTTTTTTTTGTATAATTATTTAATTTCCTAAAAACCCTTTTTTTAAATGTAGCTTTATCAAAAAAAAAATATACTCAAATAAATTGTAGTATCAAAATAACATTGCAAGTTCTAAATTTATACCCTTTAAAAAAAAAATTGAAGACAGAAGAACATGGAAATGTGTGCTGATCAAGAATGCTTCCTTCTTTTTACGTTTCGTAACAATCTAATATACCTGTCAGTCTAAAACTGTGCCAAAACAAACAGGCAATCGTGTGGGTCAGTGTGCTTTGGATTGCAGAAGATCGTTGACACCATACCGATTTTTTTTTGTTTCGAAGGCACCTTGAGATTAGATCAGATTAGGAGTACGGTTAAAAAAAAAAAGGACAGCGATCCCCATACAAAGAGCCCAACTTTCGTTTTGTTTACCCAAAAATTAGGGTCAGGGCTAGAGAGACATCGTTCGACGCTGCTGTCCCACTATCAAGTGTCGTCTACGTTTTGTTCTCTGGTTGCGAACGTGTGTATCTGTGTCATGCGAAAGCGAAAAGATACACACTCGCACACGCACACAGCCGCAGACTGAGACGGAGACGGGCAGGGAGTAAGTGTAAGTGTTCATGACTCCCATTCTAATTTTATTTAAATGCCCCGTACATTCAGACGAGCTGCCATCTCGCTCTTGGCCGCCGTTTCACCTCCCAACGCCCCCCTCCTAATGGCCAGACGAAAATTTCTATATACAAAATTGCAGCCGACGTCGGCCATTTTGTTTTTACTTTTATTTCGTCTGTTTTTATTTGTGTTTTGTTTTTTTTTTTTTGGCAAAATTTCATTTTGCCTTTGTATTGCCGAATCGTTGTTGTGGCTGGTGTGACTGCTGTGTCTGCCCTGCGCCTGCCACTCCCTCTTTGCGCCGACTGCCTCTACGTGAGTGTTGGATACAGCGGCGAGGCGACACGCCCCGCACTGCCCCCACTCACACACGCCTTTATCATAATCATCGTCTTTGTGTCTTGTTTTGCGAAGCGCAAAAACGTGTTGCCATCACTTGAATTTTTGCTTCGCTTTTTGTTGATATATTTTACGAACTTTTTAGTTGTTGTTGTTTTGTCGGTCAAATATTTGCAATTCTCTTGGTTTGCCTGTCTATGCCAGTAAATTGTTGTTTCGTATTATTCTTTGCTTGCTGTGCTTTTGGAATAAAAAGAACCCACCAATATTATGCATATCTGAAGTGGCACGGACAAATAAACAGTAATTTAAAAGGTAAAGCTTTTACAGCTTATTTTTAATCAAATCTATAATAGTACAATAAATACGTTGGCACAAAATAGCGTGCAAGATGGTAGTATTTTAAATACCGGTTCCACTTGCCGTCGAATGGAAAAACAAACAAAGCATACGTAGAAAACTTGAAGAATTTTCTAAGCAAACGAAGCGCCCTAGTAAACGACACAAAAACCGCTGTTTGCCAACCGGTCCTGTGGCGCAATGGATAACGCGTCTGACTACGGATCAGAAGATTCCAGGTTCGACTCCTGGCAGGATCGAAGTGAAATTTTTTTCATTTTTATTTTTTTAATAAAAAGTACAGAAATGCAAATTACGATACAAAAATTTCAAACTAAACATTTAATAAAGGATATTTTGTATAGATACCTTAATTTCGTATAATTTTTGTTAAAGTAACTTATACTATTTGGACAAGAAAAAAAAAAGAAAAAAATAAATTCGCCCAACGTGGGGCTCGAACCCACGACCCTGAGATTAAGAGTCTCATGCTCTACCGACTGAGCTAGCCGGGCACTTGTGACGACAGCCGACAATATAAGTAGTCCAGAAGCAAGTTCTTTTCGGCTAAACAGCAAAAAGACGAAAATTAGATAAACGTAAAGCTGCTAGATAGATACAGGCATAGATACATCGAAATGGCTAAATTGAGCTCACATTGAGTGTGCGCAATCTAGTTCTTTTGATTCGGGTCAAACTAATTATCGTGAGCAAGCAAATTGAATCAATGACTTTGATGAGTTGGCCATGGCAAAGATAATCAGAATGAATGTGATCAGTGCTCGTTTTATTGCATGGCCCGTCGCTATTACACGATAATTTGCTGGCTCTTTTTGCGCTTAATCAGTCGAGGGGCTGTGGGGGAAATTCCATTTCATTCAGTGTCGCGACTCTCGCTCTCCGATATTCTCTCGCCCCGCCTGCTCACAACTATTCATAGATTTCTATTTCATTTCACATTCACCCTGACCCACCGCAATAGTTTTTATATTGCTTCGTCTACCCCTTTTCTCAGTCGACAGCAGCTGCAGCAACAACAACAACAATGCCAACTATTTATGGCAAAATTTTTGCTGTTGTTGCTAGCTTTCTATCAGAGTTTTTGCCATTGCTGCTCTTGATTTAGTTTATTATTGTTTGTTGCTTTATTGTGTTTATTTCCCATTTTTTTCGGCTTCGGTTTTGTTTT